CAGGTTCTGCAGCGGGCAGCAGAACGGCCCCGCGGGCACAACGCCCAGATTATTGCCTGAGAGGTCCAGGGCTGCGAGCGTGCGCAGGCAGGGGAGCTCCGTCCTGCTGGCACCCATCTGGTTTCTGCAGGGAGAACTCCAACCCCCCCAGGGCTTCCCGAGGCAGGAACAAGCCCATGTTCCCCGACAGGTCCAGCGAGAGCAGCGGGGTCTGGTTGAAGGTGTAGGGCTGCAGCCTGGTGATGTTGTTCTTGCAAAGGCTCAGGTGCTTCAAGCCAGGCAGGTTGTAGAAGGGGGTGCAGGTGCCCCCTGGGGCTGGGACGTGAGACCCCCCTCCCGACATCCCTCCTGGATCACTCCCCTGGCTCCCGCAAGGCTGGAGGTTGTTGGAGCCCAGGTCGATGGTTTCCAGCTGGGGCAGGGAATGGAAAAACCAGCGCGGCAGCACGCGGAGGGCATTGTCGTGGAGGTCCAGCTGGCGCACGGAGAGGGCAGCGTGCTCCGGCGAGCGGTCGGTGGGCTCCATGCCGCCGGCGAGAGGCTCCCCAGCTACATCCTGGAGACAGTTCCCAGCCAGGCTGAGTCTGTGCAGGGAGCTCAGGCTGTGGAAGAAGGAAAATGGGAACAGCTGGAGGTGGTTATTGCTGAGATCCAGGTCAGCGATGTGCGTCAGCCCCGCCGCGGTGCGCAGGGTCCGGTTGAACCTTGCCATCTCCTCGTAGCGAAGGATGAACTCCCCTGGATGGCGTGAGCTGGGGAGCAGGGAAGCAATAAGGTTGTTGGAGAGGTTTAAGTGTGTGAGATAATGGGCTTTGGGGAGCTCTGGGAAATCGAGGAGCCTGTTCCAGCTCAAGTCGAGCACTCGGAGCAGGTAGGGCTCCGCTCCATCCTCCGCGCCGAAGAGCTCCAGGGCGTTGTGGCTGAGATTTAACACTCGCAGCTGCGTGAGGCTGAAGCCAGAGAGACAATGGAGGGAATTCAAAGCCAAGTTTACCACTTCCAGCTCTCCCAGAACCTCAAACACTCCCTCCTCGATTTCCATGATGTAGTTGTTGCTGAGGTCCAGTTCCCGCAGCCATGGCGTGCTCCGGAAAATCCCCGCCAGCAGCCGGCTCATCCTGTTCCCGGAGAGATCCAGCCTCCGCAGCCTGGTGAGGTTGCGGATGTACCAGCCGGCCATGTGGCTCTCCAGGTTATTTGCCGACAGGTCCAGGACCTCTATGTTCCTGAGCAGCCGGAAGGCTCGCCCGTTCGCCCGGTAATTGCGGTCCAAGCGGTTCGATCCCAGCAGGAGTGAGCGCAGCCGGGGCAGCTGAGCCAGCGTTGCGTCCGACACGGCTTCCAGCTGGTTGGAGCACACGGCCAGGTACTCGAGCTGCCCAAACCCCCGCATGGGGCTGCCCGACAGGTTTCGGATGAAGTTGTTGGAGAGTTCGAGGTACTTGACTCCTTGGCTAAGCTCCTTTGGGAACTTGCTGAGGCCAACTCCTTTGCAAGAGACCTTTGTGGGGCTCTGCAGAGAGAGGGGAGAAGCTGTCAGCATCAGATGGGCACAGACAACATGGAAATGAGCACTGTCCCCTCTTCCCAAGCCTGGGATGGAAAAATAGAATCACAGACTCATAGAACCATTAAGGTTGGAAAAGACCTCAAGGATCATCAAGTCCAACCATCAACCCAACACCACCTAACTCACTGAACTCACTTAAGAAGAAGCTGCAACACCCAACACTCTGCTCAGACAAGAACCTTGCCCCTGAGATTAAGGTGGGCTTTCCGAGACCTTGGCTGATGCCACCACGTTGTTTTGGACACAGCAAGACTCAGTCTTTGGCCCCGCAGGCTGTCCTCCCATGCAAAATGGGGAAAAAAAGTCCAGCAAGCAAAAAAAGGAGCATCACCACTGAAGATACAGCAGGCTGGTAGGGCAAACCCAGCACTGGGAGGACACTGGGACAGTCCAGGGGTCTGGTCCAGAGCATCCCTGTCCTGTCTGGGCAGAGGAAGGGCACCAAACCGGTAGGCTCCACCTTCTCCTTCCAAAACCAGGGAGGGGGGGTGGGGACACACGACCGAAACCAGCCGCTCCCCAGCCAGGCTCCCCCCAGCTTTGCTAACATCCATGTCAGCTGCCTGCATCCATCCTGTGCTTCATCCTGCGCCCCATCCTGCCTCTTAGCAAGCATCTCGAGCTGCCACCCCCATGGCAAGGACTGCTGGAAGGTGCCAGTGACATAACAGGGACATGCTGGGGACTGGCTAGTAGGAGACCGGTTTGGAGATAAAATAGAAAAATAGAGATGAGATCAAAGCTGGGAAGGTTAAAGAGATGGAGGCTGGAAGAGGTGGGGAAGATGCACAGAGGGATGTTCCCAGCCCCAGTAAAGCTACTGGGACCATCCCAGCCCAGGGGGTCCTTGGAAAGCATTCTTACCTGCTGGCACGGCGTGGACCTGGGTCTCGCCTCCCCATTAGACTGGGCTCGGAGGATGGACGGGAGCAGCCAGAGCAGCAAGCATCCTCTTTCAGCCAGGCGGTGTTCAAACAAGAGCATGTTGGGCTGCGGGCACTGCCAGCCCCGTCCCGCTCCGCCAGCGCTCTCTGGCAAAGCCGGGCTCGGTATAAATAGGTTTCAGGATGGGATGGGGGAAGGAGATAAGGCATGTGGGTGTTGGTAGCTACGGAAGTGG